TTCCTTCTCACTAGCTCCCCCGATTGTCTTTCTCCTTAACCATCTTTTCCCTGATATTCTCCCCGATCTTTTTTTCTCACAGCTGCCAGCATGTTCCTCTCAGACCATGGTGGCGTGGCTCAGAGCCACCCACAGTGCCTCATTTAAATAGATGTTATGGCAAACCCTTCCTGGGCCTCCTCAGTGCTCTTGGGGATAAATACTGGTCTTGCCAAGGCCTATGCAGGTCCTCGCTTAGCTCCTCTCCACTTCTCACTGCGTCCCCTCGGTGTTCAGGCCCACCCTGGCTCTGGTGGGAAAGGCTTTGAACCTGCTCTTCTCTCTCTAGAATGTGCTTTTCCTTTTCTCCTGTTTGTTCTTCACCGGTTAGTTGCCTAGCCAGCCTTCAGATGAGGGGTATTACCTCAGGGTTGCCTGCCTGGGCTCCCCTTAGGCACAGACCAGCGCCTGTGTATCTGAGCTTTAGTTCAGTTTGCAGTGGCATGTTGACTGCGGGTTTGGGGCTAGCCCAGACAGGGGCTCGTTTTGCTCATGGTTTTATCCTCAGCCTGGTACCTGATCCCAGCAGCCTTTCCAGTCTGGATGTTGTCATCAGCAGTTACCGACACATCTTCTGTGCCAGTCCTTAGCCTGGGGGTCCCTGCCTTTGATGGGTTGGGTTAGATCCTGGTGGGCATAGGGGAGTGTCTGCGGATTTGTGCCCTCACCAGTGTCTTTGGCCTCCTGTGTGCCTCAGTTTTGACAGTGAGAAGGCTGGAGACCGGGAGGTGCAGAGGACGATGCTGGAGCTTCTGAATCAGCTGGATGGGTTCCAGCCCAACACCCAAGTAAAGGTGAGATTACCTCACAGATGAAGAAAAGAGGGGGCCTTCTCGGTCATCTAGCTGGTGCCACAGGAGTTAGCATTGGGTTTGTTCTAACATCCCCTACCCTTCCCACCAGTCCCTGGGCTGCCTCTCTGCTTTTTACAACCGTGACTGTTACTTGTCAGTCACTTTTCCTCCTCACTGCAAGTTGCTACTATTCCTCTCGCTCAGGTCATTGCAGCCACTAACAGGGTGGACATCCTGGACCCCGCCTTACTCCGCTCAGGCCGCTTGGACCGCAAGATTGAGTTCCCCATGCCCAATGAGGAGGCCCGGGCCAGAATCATGCAGATCCACTCCCGAAAGATGAACGTCAGGTGGGCAAGGGCAGGGGCGAGGCGTGAAACCAGGAGGCAGCAGCAGAGTGGTCGGTCTTTCCCCTCTGCGCCGAGCTCCCCAGGCCGGCAGCCACCCTTTTCCTTCACGTAGCTCTGTTCCATATGCCTGTCCCCTCCGCCGCCGCCTGGGAGTCTCACTGGGGCTCTGCCCTCTGCCCCGCTCCTTAGACTCCACCTGCAGACGTCACAGACCCTGTTTCTGGGCATCTTCTCCTGCCCAGCAGATGGGTGCAGCCCAGCTTGGCCTAGGGCAGTCCAGCCAGGGGCCAGAGGGACCTGCCTTCAGACCTGTGTCACCTTCAGCAGGTGTCATGACCTCTCTATGCCTGTTTCCTCCCGGACTTAGGGACAGCACATGACCTTAGCGTTGTCGCAACATCAAGCACAGCGCTTAGCAATGACGAGTGGTGGTGGCAGTGCCGGGCTGATGCCGGCTCCCCAACCTCCTTTCGTCGAGACTCAGGTGCTGACTTTTGGGAAGTTAGAGCTCAAGAGACACCAGAAATAACTTGGTTTCACCTGCCTGACTGACTCCCCTTGCTCTGCCTCTTGTACTGATAAGAGAACAAGGCACCGGGGGTAAGGGCTTGCCTGTGGTCACAGGACCAGTTGACAGTATTGCAGAGTGGGGACTGTGAGGGGACGTCGCTTCCTGCCTCTGCGTAACTGAGCCCTGTGGTTTCTGTCCTTCCAGTCCTGATGTGAATTACGAGGAGCTGGCCCGCTGTACGGACGACTTCAACGGGGCCCAGTGCAAAGCCGTGTGTGTGGAAGCGGTGAGTGTTGGCATGGGGGTGGGTTCATGCTTTCTTGCCCCCCCCCCCAATAGGACCAGGTGTTTGTTTGTGGGGGACCTGTCGAGGGGAACATGCGAGGGCCGAGTGTGGCTGGGAGTGGAGAGTGGAGAGCACACTAGAGCCTGTCTGCCCTGGGTACAGGGCATGATTGCACTGCGCAGGGGCGCCACGGAGCTTACCCACGAGGATTACATGGAGGGCATCCTGGAGGTGCAGGCCAAGAAGAAAGCCAACCTGCAGTACTACGCCTAGGAGGTGCCCCCACGCACTGCCTGGCCTCATGCGTGGCATTGGAAATAAAAGATGGTTTCTGGACCCCGCTGCCCTCTGTACCTGGCTTCCCCTTGGCTCCGGCTGGAGGGTCGGGGCACGTGGAGGAGGCCTCTCCCCAGAGGCTGCTGCTGCAGACTGGAGCTGCTCGTGGGCCTCAAATCAGTTGTCAGGACAGGACCTCTTGGGAGGGGTGCGCTGTAGCTGCTCTCAGGGCTTCTGGCCTCCCTCGCCCCAGCCCTCCAGGTCATCTCCCCACTCCCTGCCTTGCCCTTGCTTTGCCCTTGCTGTGGTCCTGCAGCTCGGGACTGAAGGGCCCACAGAAGCCAGCCTTGCCCTCTGCACTGTGGTGCTCTGGCCCTGTCCTAGCGTCGTCGTAAAGCCAGGCCCTGGGTCTGCCTTTTTGAAACTCCTGCGTTTCCTGGCCCCCGAGCTGCTGTTTGTCCACTTGTCCCTGGTAGCTCATGTGGCCCGATTCTCCTGGCTGAAAAGTGGAACCTCGGGCCATACATAGCCACTCAGAGCCTGTCCAGGTCCGCTGCGGTCGTGCTCTCTCCACGCCTCAGTCTACCCTGTCAGGCCCGTAACCGGCAGCTCCCTGTGGGATTGTGCTGATCTCGCCCGGCGTTTTCTTCCCCGACCCGGTGTGGTCATCCTTAGTTGAACGCTGACCTTGTCTTGCTGACTGGGTCTAGTGCGTAACTATCTCACCTGTTTCCACCAGAGGGTAAACCTCATCTTCCATGTGTGTTTTAAGTGGCTGGGCTAAGGCTGCCCAGCTCTCAGCTGGCATAGCTGGGATTCAGATCAGTCTTTCCACTGGTACCTTGATTGGCCTTTCAGAGTAACAGCTCTTGAAAACCCATGAGTTCTTACTTGCTGTCTGGCAAAAGCTCTACATCCCCCAGGGGATAAGCCCATGGTGAGCTCCGTCGGGCTGGCTCTTTGCCAGCTCACCCCCCCGCACTGCCTTCCCAGGCTCCCCGCAGTCCCGTTGACTTCCCAGCCCCTGCCTGAGAAGCCTCAGCACAGCCTCTAAAGTGCTTCTGGTCCTTTCTGTCCAGGGCTTATTTACTGTCAGGCCTCTGAGGTTTCCTGTTACATTTTCAAATGAGTTTGGGCATTCACCTGGCTGTAGCACCTGAGCGAACTTGGCTTCTTCACCTATAGGTGGGGGTCCCACTGCCTCCCTCAGCAGATACAGGTGCCTCTCTGCTACCTGGCATCCTTTCTCGGTTGTCAGGGCCAGACTCACCAGGCCCTTGAGGCAGTGATTTTATTGGAATGTGTCATAGCCAAGTGAAACAGATCCTGTTTTGCTAATAAAAACACCAAGAGCCAGGCACCCTGGCTGAAGCTGCAGCTGGCCTTGGCCTCACAGGCCCTTTGCTGGCCCCGTGACTTGGTGCAGCCTTGCTGCTCTCTGCTGGAAGTTAAGGGGAACTCCCCTTCTCCCCACACCTTTCTCCTAAATACACAGAGGAAGCAGCCCAGCCCCTCCCAGCGCTGTTTCTCCACTTGTCCCCGATAGCTCATGTGGCCTGATTCTCCTGGCTGAAAAGTGGAACCTCGGGCCATACATAGCCACTCAGCTTGTCCAGGTCCGCTGCGGTCGTGCTCATAGCACATCCAGAGGGCGTGTGGTTTAGGGTATTTTCCCCTTCCTTTTTAAAATACTGTAAGTGAATTCGCTGAGCCCAACCTGGATGTGACTATGGACAGGGCTGCCCCAGTCTTGACTGCATTTCTTTGGACCTGTAGAAGCAGACACCGCCTGTGGCACAATGGCACAGTGCTGCGCTCGCAGCGGGAGAAGCCGGGGGCGTGAAGGGCTGCACCCAATTTCCAGCAACACTGAGGGTCGCAGCAAGAAGCAGAAGGGGTGGGACGTGGGGTGACTGCAGACACTGGCGGAGTGGCCAGCTGGAGCTGGGGCCTGTGGAGCAGCCACGATGGCCAGAACAGCACCGGAAGGCCCAGCTTGACCAGGGGCTCTGCCATGCAGAACAGAGGCAGCGGTTTGAGCATAGTATTTATTTGCATCTTATTTATAGAGTAGGTATTTACAGGTACAAATGGAACCACTGCGGAACTGCAGTCAAGCCATTCAAACCCTCTTAATGGCCACGTCACAGAATGTCCAGTCGAGCAGCAGGGCCAAGCCTGGCTGTGGAGGGGCCAGCTGAGTACCTGGGCAGCAGCCAAGGGAAATAGCTGGGGATTATGGCTTCAGCATTCTCCCAGAGCACATTCCTGAGTGCTGACCTTGTGGAGGCCGCCCCTCCTGCCTCCCCCCACCCGCAGTGGGGCAGGAAAGGGCCCTGAGCGGGGAAGGGCAGCCGGGGTGCCCCTCTTGTCCCCAGAGTATCTGCCTGGGCCCTGAGCTGGCTGGAGCATCCCTGGGCAGGACTGGCGGCCTCTGGCAGGCTCTGCGGGCTGCTGGTGGGCAGCTGGAGGTGGCGAGAGCTGCAGGTGCTGCCAGGGAGCATTCACTAGGGGCGGGTGCTACTTGGGCAGCAGCCGTGGGGGGAAGGTTTCAGCGTTGCCCAGCAGCTCTGCAGCAGGAGGGCAGGACTGTCACTGCTGAGTGGGGCTGTGGGCTCCAAAGCACTCGCCTCTCCTTTCTTTGGCCTTAGAACTGGCGAAGAGCAGGCCAGGAAGTGGACACAGAAGGTGCCCTGGTTCCTGGCCACCCAGGGCGGGGTCATGAACAGAGGGTTACTCCCCATCGGGAGGCAGGCAGCTCTGGGGCTCTCGCAGCCCTGAACTCCCGGGCTGCTCTCATTCCCCGCAGAGCTCTGGTGGGGAGAGGCCTCTGCAGAGAGCTTGTGCTTCTGTCCTCACTGCTCACCTCGGGAGGTGCAGTCTGACCGGGTGGCAAGGGTGGGCACTGGGGTCACAGTGTCGGTCTCGCATACACAGGTGCACACACCGTCCACGTCTGGTCGGAGCCTGCTCTCGGGCACTTGCCCTCTACCATGCACACACGTACTCGCACGCACGCACGCACGCACGCACAGTCACAGAGCAAATTTGAGTCTTATTGCTGTGCGGGGTTGGGGTGTCAGGGAGGGTTACTCCACGAAGAGCGAGAACAGCACCATCACCACAATGCCCGTGCAGAGCAGAAGCACTTGCTGAAGGGAGTGCCTGTGGGGAGAAGGGCTGGGCTCAGGGGCGGCACTGACAGGGAGGGCGCAGTCGGAAACTCCCTGTGCCTGTGGGTCACTCACCACGGGTCATCTTCCTCCAGGAGGTCAGGCAGCACGTTCACCAGGGCGATATAGAGAAAACCTCCGGAGGTGAAGGGCAGGATCCAGGCCACAGTCTCCTCTGCAGTGGGAGGAGAAGGCTGCCTGGCTGGGCTCCCCGGGCACCGGTAGACCGCACCCCCCCAACCCCCCGCAAGGGTAATGGGGCAGAACCCGGCCTGGATACCAGGGGCGGGGCGGCTGTGCCCTTGGCTGGGCCCTTCTGCTGAACACCACCTGCCAGCACCACCCACCACGCCCGTACCTACTCCCTTGGGGGACTGTGTACAGATGGCGAAGCAGGCACCCAGCAGGCCCCCCAGGGCAGTCGAGAGCTGCAGCTTGGCTGCGCTCCATCGGTCAAAGCCGGCCCGGAGCAGGATGGCAAAGTCGCCCACCTGAGGGGAGGGCCAGATGATCACACTGGGCCCCGAGGGACCAGAGGCCCTGAACACCTCCAGTGTGGGCATGCACACCAAGCCCCCCATACCAGCCCTGCTGCTGCCCACCCCCCAGGCAGCACCCCCTTGACTGAGCCCCCAGCCACTAGGCTGGAGCAAGGCTGGTGGTGGCTGCAGCCTGAGGGGCTGAGCGACTCCAGCCCCTACAACCCAGCTCCCAAGCCTGCCTCTGCTGGGCAGTTCCCCCACTCCTGCCTTAGGCCCACACTGCTGACCTTGGGGCCCTCCCACACTCACCTCATGGGGGATCTCATGCAGGAGTATGGCCATGGTGGTCAGGAGCCCGATCTGCGGGGAGGGAAGTCTGGGGGTTCTGTGCCAGGCCAGGACACTCACCCACTCATTCCACAAATGGTTGCTGTGAGTGCTCTGGCCGGACACTGTTGGGCCACTAGAAATAGCAGGAGCAAATAAAGGAGACAGGCTAGCGGCCCTCATGAAGCTCAGTCTGGAGGGGAGAGAGAGACCAGGGTCGCGGAAACACAGCACTGTGATCACACTGACGTGCTGAGAATAACGGGCGTCTCGCTAGATGAGAAGCAGGGGCCTCTAAGGACAGGTGTTCAAGTGGTTCAGAGAGAGGAAGAACAGTCTTGGCAGAGGGAAAGTGACTTAGAGGCGATGAGGGCTGAAGAACTCAATGAGTTTAAGCGCAGGCAGGCCAAGGGAACAGGGGGAGGAAGTGAAGAAAAAACATCTAGAAGGAGGCAAAGGCCTCGCCTCGCAGCCTGGCAGAAGCATGTGATGTCAACAAGAAGCATCTGCAGCAAGAAGCAGAGAGCCTGAGGCCGGCGGCAGCTTCCCTGCGGGGCCTGTGGGGCCCACCTGGCCACCTCCACTCACCTTCTTGCTCACAAGGAAGCTGGCAGCCACCGCCAGCCCATGGGTGAAGTTGTCTATGGTGTTGGCCAGCAGGTTGAGGTAGCCACTGACCTGGGTGGGAGAGAGAAAGCTGGGCCGAGCTGGCTGGGCAGCGCTGAGCCCGGCTGGCTACTCGGGAAGGGGCAGCTGCAGGAGGAGGGGGCCCTGAGTGGGCCACTCACTTTGATGCTCCGGACCACGGCGCTCAGGCCGGGTTCTGCCGCCGGCTGGGCCAGATAGTGGCCTCCATTGAGCACGGCAGCAGCAGCGGGCTCTTTGGTGGGGGCCTAGGGCCAGGAGAAGGAGGGAGAAGTGACATTAGATGCCCCCCACTTGGCCAGTGCAGATGCAGTCAGGAGTGGGTGATGCAGCGACAGGAACATCCCTTTTATCTGGCTAGGCTTCTCTGCTGCCTGGTCAGCCAGGGACCCCAAATTCAACAGACCTCCATCCCTTACACTACTGTCACTCTCAGTGTGTAAGGACAACCCCCACAAGGTCTGAGGCCATCACTCCCCAGGCCCTTCTAAATATGCTGGCCCAGGGCTCTGAGAAAAGACCCAAGGAATCTTCTTTTCAGGACTCATCTCAGAGCCTGGGCCCCCAGGCCTGGCACCACCGGAGACCAGAGGCTGACTGGTCCCGGCCTGGGCCGCAAGGGCTCACCTGACTGGTCCCCTCCTCTTTGCTGTCCAGGAACAACTTCTCCAGTGCCAGGAAGGTCAGGAAGCCGGCGATGACCCACAGACCCAGCTGTTGTTGCTGCTGCAGGCTCTGCCCCTCACCACCTGCAGGGGGCAGCAGAGCCAGGCCCATAGAAGGGGGCAATTCGCAGTGGGGCCTAGTACAGGCTAGTGCCGGATCAGGCACCAGGACAAGCTCCCAGTGGGAATCCCGTGGTCCTCCTCCCAAACATTCTGGCAGCGCACATGGGGCCTAGGCCTTCCCTGGGCACAGGCACCAACTTCCGCCTCCCTCGCCCCTGCCCGCAGCCGCACTCACCAGGGCTGGTGCTGCACGTGTAGGCCCACGCCTCTGGCAGCAGGTGGAGAAACACATTGCCCAGGAGTCCCCCCAAGGCAAAGCTGAGCAACTGCTTCAGGCGCCGGGCCCCAGCTATAAGGCAGAGATGATGCCTGGGGACTAGGCCACCGGAGCTGGCCCCAGTGCTGCCCCGCTCGGCTTTCTGGGTTTTCTGTGTGAGAGCAGACACAGGCGGCTGTCCTTTAGGGCCCCCCAACCCCAGGCCCCCAGGAGCTGGCTGCTTGGCAGGAATGCGCCACAGCCTCCAGATGACTGGAACCACTACGGCTGGGAGGCTCTGGCTACCCGCAGCTGTCAGACAGGGACCCTGCAGGGTTTAAGTAACAATATATATTGTTATGTAACAACATATATATTGTAAAGTAACGCTATATCTATATATATAGATATGTAGATATATAAGAAATGCTCCCCAAGAGAAAATTTTTATCTCTTCAGCCAATTCCTCAGAAAAGTGGCAGGGATTTAGGGAGTTTGGCAGACTTGCAGCATCCAGAGTTGAAACGGCCTCGGGGCCATGTCCTGACCCTGTGTGTGACAGAGCAACTGAGGCCCAGAGGACAAAGCAGCGTGGCAGTGGGTGGAATCCAGGGGAAGCTGCTGCTGTGAGGCTGTGTGACGTCAGGATGGTCAAACACCTGCCCTGAGCTTCTCCATTTGTAAAATGGGGCTGATAACTCCAGCTCCCTCCTTTGCTCTGGCGGCGACGCTACGAGAGGGGCTGGGCTGACGCACGGGACAGCTGGGCCCACAGGCTCCATCCACGACTGTGGCACCAGCCCTCAGCCCAGTGCCTGGCACAGGTGTGCCTGTAGCCATCTGTTGAATAAACAGCTCCTCCGCCTGGCAGGCGGGACAGACCCTGGGGACGTGCATGAGCTTCCAACAGATTCCTGCAGTTCTGGTCCAGACTTACTAGGTCACACTCATGGGTGGGGTGACAGGCAGCTGCATTGTGAGCGGTTCCCCATCTAGTTTATTTCTCTGTCTTGGGGGCTTGTGACAAGCATAAGACATGACAGGGTAGCATGAAAGGCCTCCGCCCAAGCCTGTGCCCACCTCCCTGACGCCAGTCCGGAGGGCCTGCTGAGTGGTGAGGCTAACCCAGGGGCTCTTGGTTTGACAGCTCTTTTGCACAATGAGCAGGGACTGAAGGGAGAGGCAGCACCTTGCTCACCGTTGCACCCCCGCACCCAGCACGAGGCCTGAGAAGACAGCCGTGCCCTGCACCAGGCAGCCTCTAGGATATTCGTTGATTTAATCTTCACAACAGTATCTGTGAAATAGATACTATTACTACCCCTATTTATCAAGGCTGGGAGTCTGAGGCAGAAGGAAGCTAACTAACTGGCACATCGGCACCCAGCTGGACCAGGACTTGAACCCAGGCAGCCTGGCATCTGTATTTCCAACAATTACCTATATTGTTTCTTGGCCAATGTTCGCTGACTTCAATTCTTTCCAAATAAACAAACACATGAAAGAATGAACAACTAAGCACCCTACACTTTAGTCACTGCACCAAGATGACAAATTCTATTCTGTTCCATCCCCACCTGAGACATACTATAACTCAACATGAGTTTCCCAGGCTGGCTGGTCCTGGGGCCAGAGGGTCACCCACCTTCTGAGCGCAACATGGTCCCCATCTCCAGGGGAATGACGAGCAGTGGGAAGACCCCACTCAGTCCCACCATGAGCGAGCCCAGGAGGGAGCAGATCCAGGTGTCCAGTCTCTCCCCACTCAGCAGGGCCCCCCAGGACTCGCTCTCCTTGTTGTCCAGGCGACAGGCTGCTGCAGACCCCCGGCTCCGGGGGACCTGCTGGGTACCTCCAGCCCCTCCCAGGAGCTCCAGGGCAAGAGCAGTGAAGAGGAGGAGCCTTTGGCCCGCCATACCACAGCCGAGGCAGGGACATCCAGGCATACCACGTGCTGAAAAACACAAAGGCCGCTTGCGTGAGCTGCCAACCTGGATGCACACCTTAGGAAACGTGGCACCTTAACCATTTCTCCCTACTGTCTCCCCACCCCTGCCCTGAGTGGCTGTGACATCTGCCTCCTGGCTGCCTTTGCCCAGGGCCTGAGCATTGAGTGGTGGGATCCCAGTGCAAAGGAGCGCTGCTTCGCCACGCCCCACTCCCAGGGACCACGCATTTTTTCCTTCTGAGCCAACTCCAGACTGTGTGTCAGCCTGGCCGCCCGAGGCTAAACTTTCCTTAATGACAGGGTGAGGCGCTGGCTGGCTTCCCCTCAGCCACCGGCCGGCCCAGCCCAGCCGGGTGTCTCTGGTTGCCAGGGGAGTCTTTGCTACCAGGCTGTGTCTAGCTGAGAACACCCTAGGGACCAAGGACGGAGGCTGGCTCTCTCTAGCTTGATGGCATGTCAACATGAGGTGCAGACAGGGCAAGCGAGTAGCTGAGCTAGGACAGGACAGTGAGAGCATCTTCCCAGGAGATAAGAGCAAAGTCCCAGGGGGCAGGAGGCAGACAGGAGGGGGGCTGAGGTGAATGGAACCAGAGGTCACACACCCCAAAACAGAGGCTTTGAAGATCTACCCCTAACTTTGAGGGCAAGTCCCTGAAGCCCTCTCTAATCCTCAGTTTCCTCATCGGTAGGATTAAGAGAAATGCAGCCTCCCTCGTGCAATTGTGAAGGGCGAGGAGCTGTGGCCGCAGTGCAATGCCTGGCACAAGCCGGTACCCTGCGCGCTCCTTTGCTGAGGGAGGCCAGGAGCCCAGGGAAGCAGGGAGGTAGCAGTCGGAAGATCACAGGGGATGTGAGTCAACCAAGCAGAAGGTCTAGGTGGAAACTCCAACATGAAGTTTAAATGTGGTCTGCCCTGGCGCATGCTGGTCGTGACCTTGGCGTGATGTCTCTGCCTCAGTTTCCCCTTCTGATGGGAAGATTGGGTGGAAAAGACAGCCATGTCTAAGCTCCCTAGGCCTGATCGTGAGACCTGATGAAACCGACTGGGGTCCTTTGGGGACGCAGGGCAGGACTGGGTCAATCCGGACTTGGAGGCCTCCGTGGGTCCCGCAAAGATGCGAGGACCATGGGTCTGGGAGAGTGGAAGGGGGTGCGAGAGAGTCCGAGCAGAGGTCACGTAAAAGGCCCGCGGGTCCATAATCAGAAAAAGTGGGAGCGCCCGACGCGGCGCGGGTAGCGAGGGGGGGGGGCGACGAGAGGGGTGCCAGGGAGAAGGGCCCCCAGGGGAAGCGTAACTCCCTGGCTCTGGGCGAAGACCCAGGTCCGCCCAGGCGGGGTGGAGATGGGGTGGTCGGCGGGGTCCTTCCCGCCCGGGG